TATACCAACCCACCTGGTGGTTAATGTGCACATTCATGGGTCGTGTGTAAGGAAGTACAACATATTCAACTCTGCTCGGATTGAAAAGCAAAGCCCAAGGCCATGCCACAATGTATTTATGAAAGGATAGGTCCCACTATATTACACGTGATTCATATTCCGACCCTAACAGTGGGATTACTTACCAAGTATTTATTAAAGTACTCAAACCACATGTTACTCTTATTTTAAAGTAAAGGTAAGATACCCATTTACGGATGACAACGTTGCATTGAAGGCCACGGAACCAAATTTAGGGCAATTGCATTCATGTTATTTTTAATGATCCTTAGATTAGATCAAGGCATTGCTTTATTATTATTTAAACTAATGTTATCTCAATATTGTTTTAATGAGTTCATTATGAACATTTAAGTCCATAGCACCGTTTATGAAATGTTGTAAATGAATTCTTTCATGCATAGTAGTAATGTCATGTATGCGGCGATGATATTGTTTAATAGAAAAANCATGTTCAGAAAACCCCTTAGCTATCACCACTAGGTCTGGGCACCTGTCACGCTTCCCTATCCGGATCTGCAAAGCTCAACGATCACCGTACCGGAGCTCTGTCTCGACGGTATGGTATCGGAGGAGAGAGGGAAGTGGAGGTTCTGATGACACTATCTTCACTGCTCAACCCTAACGGGCTACCTACAGTTACCGTGGTGACCTATTATTCTTTCTAGGGTGGAACTTGGTGCCTTAGACTTAGATTCGTATTTCTCTAGGACTCTCGTGCCTGGTGTCACAAACCTATCGGGTTTGGAATTCTGGGTTCTGGTTCCGCCGGTAATCATTTCGCGGGTCTAATTGCACGGTGTACTAGGGGTCCCCCAATCTAAGGTCTCGTCTAGCTTATTTAGCCAAAAGCATCCTAATCAAGCTCATAATTTCTTCCTATTCATCCAGAAAGACAAGCCAAGCAATCATCATACAAGAGAGTTTACACGCAGCAGTTCATGCAAAATTATCAAACATGCTCAACGGGAAGATAACGTCCGACTTTTACCCGGAGCGCAGATTTCACAAGTTTCCCAACCCCCTCATGCATACATACATTATCAGAGTCTCAATCAAACAGATTTAATACACATTTTGAATCTAGCTTTCCATAATCATCTTATATTCGCAGTTTCTATAATAGGACGCTAAGTCGGGCTAGCTAATTTCATAGGTGGTAGCATGCATGCTCGTTCCTAGCGGTTCCTACAAGTATTGCTTGTGGAAGTCCAAATGGCTACTTACATGGTCGACGCGTGCCTTCCCGAGTTCAAGTTTTTCTTGACGGAATGGATTCCAACAATTCTGGAATTTTCTTCACAAGTCCTAATTCACATAATAATNTTATTATTTAAACTAATGTTATCTCAATATTGTTTTAATGAGTTCATTATGAACATTTAAGTCCATAGCACCGTTTATGAAATGTTGTAAATGAATTCTTTCATGCATAGTAGTAATGTCATGTATGCGGCGATGATATTGTTTAATAGAAAAATACAGTAGTTGTTATAAGAATCATGAATAAAAAGGGATAAAAATCTGTGTCCTCTGACCGGTGTAGATAGTTTTTACGGATTATCCAGAAAGTTCAATCTCAAAATCATAGTGATTCTTAAGCTCTCAATGTCAGTTTAAGCTTCCCCTATAAAGTTGAAAGTTTAGGCAATAGTTTGGAACAAGAATCGAGCTCCCAATAGTAGGCAATACGCATTTAGATTTAGATTTCTTCCAAATTCGGGAGCAATTCTACACCATTTCTATAACAGATCAGATAAAAAAAAAAAAAACGGAAGTTCGTCGAAGTTTTCGTTCGTACACGACCCACAAAGGGCGGCCGACGTCTGGGTCACCACGGAAACCAAACCCGACCTTCAGCCACCCTGTAGATACCTGTAGAGAAGAAAAAAAAGTGAAAAACTAGAAAGACGTCAAAACCTCCGCTTTACGCAACGAAAGTAATCCTAGAGACTTTTACACACACCAGGGGTAGATTTAGAACCTCCACTTTACGCAAGGTTGTACACCGCCTAAAGTTCCAAGAAATCTACTTTAAGATCGTTTCCTTTTCGTTTGTTTCAAGAAATATATCGATCAATTCCGATTCTTTCTTTTTCTATTGATTCTTTTCCGATTGAGATGTATGGATCCATGAGCTTATCATACATTCCTTTTAGTCTCGACTTTAAGAATAATTTTTTTCTCTATCTTTTTTCGCGAACCGCCTAAAGTTCCAACTAAAAAGGCGAAATGATTTCTCATTATCTCAATTGAAGTACTAAGCCTCACAATAATCCCACAGACTTTTACACACACCAGGGGTAGATTTAGACGAATCCTACACGTTGTACACCGTCGGGCAAGGGAGACAGAGCGTCGGATTTTTAAACCCTCTCAGATCTGGGAGTATTAGGCCTTTACGAACCAAACACATACCAAAAATAGAATTAGGGGGAGAACGAGATTCGGAAACGGAGAAAAAAGGAGGGAAAAAGGACGTCAAAAAGATGTTACCGAGATGAGAGAGAGGTCGCAAGAAAATCGGTGAGTAACCGGGTGAAGGAGACGAAGTCCGACCCGAAGGCCGGACTCCCACGACCCGAACCGAGCCCAATCCACTTCTGTCCAAACCGCGGCCGACGACACTTTCGCGGCCCAGTTGCCTCAGCCCAAACTAGAAAGCCCAGTTATGGCCTAACCCACCAGCCACGTCTCGAGAGCAAAAACCCAACCGACCCGAGACCCGCAAGCCCAGTCCAACACCCGACGCTCAAACCCCAACCCACCTACACGTTTTTCTTCAGCCTAGGCCGGCCCATCACTCACGATCAACCCGAAAACCCGCGCCTCATCCTGAGACCGCAGCACACGCTTGCCCTCTAGTTGTGCCAAGTGGCACGTCTACAGCACGACACCCCTCGCCTCCGGCAACTTAATCGACTCGGCAGTGGCTTCTCGGCTCCAGCGTCTTATTCGACTCAAGAAACTTGTTTTCGACCCGTTTCTCACCGTTCCGACCCTCCCGGTATTAGTTTCAACCTCGTTTGAGGTGAAATGTATCCTTTTAAGGTTGTATTTCACAAATTCAAGTTGAAAATTAATTATGTTTGTGAAATACTAACGAAGGTGTCGAATGATCCAATAGGAACCAACCACCAACAGAAGCGTAGGACGTTTACGAGGAGCTAGGAGCTTATGTTTATATTTTAGGGAGTACTTCGGCTAAGGCCTACCAGGTAAGTGGCTCACCCGTCGTAGGGTCGCGTTATTTGTTATATGTTGGCACGTGCCCGTGGATTCGCACGTGTCATTAAATTGTATGCTAGACTGATGTGCTTAAGTACGTAATCTTGTGAACGTGAATGTATGCTGTTTAGTCTGATGTGATATGTAGTACTTACGACGTTTATGATGTTCTTGAATGATTATGTCACAGCCCAAAATTTGAATCTCGAAATTAAGAGCCGGACCAACAGACTATGCAATGAAATCGTGTAAGAACCAATAGAGAAACGAGATTTCACAAAAAGAAACTTTAACAATTATGAAGGAGGTTTAAAATCCAAAACAAGGTGTTCACATATGAATAGTAAGTAAGCGGTTTACAAAACAATGCATGACAAATCTAAACAAAATTATGCACAGACTCCTAGACGCCCCGGGACACTCCTCTGTGGCATTAAGATTCAGCATGCATTCCCGCCTTGATCCCTGGCCTCACTCGCCTGAAAAAAAAAAGAGTAGAAAGGAATGAGTATAAAAGAATACTCAGTAAGTAGCCTACTTGTAGGCTCTTTTCGCATCCTTATCTTGGTAGGTAACCACGGTCTTTCTCGGGTTTCTATGCAGGGTGATCTAAGCTACAACTCTTTTATGCATCATAAGAGGCTTGCCCATCTTATGCAGTGAAATGATCAGCGTCCTGAGGTGAGGCGCGACCTCATAAGCAAATCTGAGGGGATCGTATGGCTGGATCCGAATACGTGACTCTCTCTCTGAACATCATCCGTGGAGGTTAACTGACGACCCTCACACGGGACCATACATCCACAAAGCGGGGTGCGACCCCCTATGTGCCGGTCAGCTACTGAGTTACCCTAAGTGGCTCCACGTCCCCCGCTCAGGGACGAGTTTCTACGGCTCAGGAGTCATGTTCAGAAAACCCCTTAGCTATCACCACTAGGTCTGGGCACCTGTCACGCTTCCCTATCCGGATCTGCAAAGCTCAACGATCACCGTACCGGAGCTCTGTCTCGACGGTATGGTATCGGAGGAGAGAGGGAAGTGGAGGTTCTGATGACACTATCTTCACTGCTCAACCCTAACGGGCTACCTACAGTTACCGTGGTGACCTATTATTCTTTCTAGGGTGGAACTTGGTGCCTTAGACTTAGATTCGTATTTCTCTAGGACTCTCGTGCCTGGTGTCACAAACCTATCGGGTTTGGAATTCTGGGTTCTGGTTCCGCCGGTAATCATTTCGCGGGTCTAATTGCACGGTGTACTAGGGGTCCCCCAATCTAAGGTCTCGTCTAGCTTATTTAGCCAAAAGCATCCTAATCAAGCTCATAATTTCTTCCTATTCATCCAGAAAGACAAGCCAAGCAATCATCATACAAGAGAGTTTACACGCAGCAGTTCATGCAAAATTATCAAACATGCTCAACGGGAAGATAACGTCCGACTTTTACCCGGAGCGCAGATTTCACAAGTTTCCCAACCCCCTCATGCATACATACATTATCAGAGTCTCAATCAAACAGATTTAATACACATTTTGAATCTAGCTTTCCATAATCATCTTATATTCGCAGTTTCTATAATAGGACGCTAAGTCGGGCTAGCTAATTTCATAGGTGGTAGCATGCATGCTCGTTCCTAGCGGTTCCTACAAGTATTGCTTGTGGAAGTCCAAATGGCTACTTACATGGTCGACGCGTGCCTTCCCGAGTTCAAGTTTTTCTTGACGGAATGGATTCCAACAATTCTGGAATTTTCTTCACAAGTCCTAATTCACATAATAATAGGGTCAGCATCAAAATCGGGTCGGAAAACAAGCAAACAGAGACCGAACGGGAAGAAAAACGGTGCCTCACGCGCCCCACGCGCGACGCACGCGCCCTGGAAGGTCACCACGCGCGCTTCCTACGCGCGCGTGCCCTACGCGCTTCTCCCCCGCGCAGGCGCGGGTCAGAGACGCCGGGTCGGGCGCTTCGCGTGCAGCGCCGGTCGGGCCGGCCGGGTCCGCGCGCCTGACGCGTGCCCGCTGCCGGGTGAGGACGCGCCTCACCAGCCGGTGATCGACACGTGTCGATCACCGGTTCCGCCGCTCTCCTCCGCACGCCGTCCGACGCGTGGCGGCCTCCACCCTCTCTCCCGCCTTCATTTTCCAGGTCTCTTTCCCGTTTCAATCTATTTTCTCTCGATTTTTTTATCTTCCAATCCGTAATCCGATTCGTTAAATTTTCTTCACGAAACTTGTAGACCTCCTATTCTACTCCTTGGAAAGAATTTTCTTAAATTTTTCTGATGATCACAGATCTTATTATTTGAGTTCAAATTCGGAGAAAAACACAAGTTCTTACCGAAAATCACGTTATCTTTAAACTCCGATTTGAACGCCGATCTTGGCCGCCTTCACTTCAGAACTTAACCAGATAGCGCTGTTGGGGGGTAAGAGTCCAAGGATCAACACAAAACGTTGCTAGCACACGAAAATTTTGATGACTTCTCCATGTAGATACTCGTGGACTAACCTGAAGTTCTTGAACGTTTTGTCGAGATAGGAAGGTGCGATTCGTGAGAGCACCTTGCCTCGAGCTATTCAACGGTTTAGATTGGGGACTCGGTTCTCCGGCGTCGGTTCTGNACATGAAATACGGTAAATTGCTCGAAATATAACTCCAATAGTATTATGTATGTTACGTAAACTTAAAATGAGAAAATGACATGTTAAGCATGAAATAGGACAGTGGGGTTATATTTGTTAATGACAAAGGTAGAAGTAATGGGGACCTCATGCATTATGTGTGCTCATGCATTTGGGGGGATACCTCTATATCCCATCACGAGGGTACGGACGCGTACATCCAATGGCAGGATAACAATAGTTATGCCTTGCATAGCGTTGCCGTGACGGTTACTAGTTCTAACAGGTGTCCGGCCTATGGATTCCCAGGGTATGCTCACCGGACAAGGAAAGTGTCCAGCGGTGTGCGAACTAGCTGGTGAGCTCATACTCGCACGTATTGGCTGTGTGTAGAGTATATGGTACACGTCCAAATTTACCCATTAGAACAGCACCATAGGGAAAACAAAATGAAAGATAGGTCCCATCATCAATTTGCATGTGATTGTTGCATAACCTTGATAGGGGGTCACTTACTGAGTATTCTAGAAATACTCAAGCCTTGTGCTACTTTACTTTTCAAATAAAGGCAAGGCACCCATGTGAGATCGACGACAGCATCGTACACCCCGGGACTGTGGCACATGCATAGGGCAGTTGTTTTCCATTTTTGTAGTATAGGTTTGTATAGGCTGAATTCGGTTTGCATCATTAGTATAGGTTAGAATAGGTTGAATTGTAATCGCATAATAAACCATAGGGTAGTATAAGACAACTGTTTCAATGTTGTTTTTCTTTCCATTCTTTCCCTTGTAATCGTTTTTCACGAGGTAATAAAAGACTGGTGTAGTCGCATTTATGATAAGGGCCCATTTAATGTAAATTCCACATTTCAAGATAGAGTAATAACCTTAGATTAAATAAGTAAAATTTAGGGTCGTTACAGTTAGTCGCATTTATGAAAAGAGCATAAAGGAAAACTCAAAATTTCAATCCGAGGATACACGAGAATATGTCAAGCAAGGACGATCCCAATCGCACCTCCAAAAAATGTTTCCATAAAAGACAACGAAGAGAAATAACCTCAAGAACAAGCCCAAATTTAAAAAAATCCGTTTTGGGCTCAAATTAGGGGTAAGTTTCAAATTCCTATCAACTGTCTCTTTTCCTTCAAATTAGGATTCCTTCAACTTCAAAGCAAGAAGTTACTTCTACTCCATTCTTACCAACTATGAAGCCAAGAAAGTTAACTTTTTCCCAGTAAAACTACACTTATTAAAATTAGAATAAGTTTCTGTTTCTTAAGCATAATCAAAACTTACTTCACATGCTCATACAAAGTCTTTGAATAAATTAAAATATAATCAAAATGTACAACAACATGCTTTTCTAAATATTCTCTCAAAACGTGATTCATTAAGCGCATAAATGTACTAGGAGCAATAGTTAACCCAAAAGGCATAACAAGTCATTCATACAATCCAACCCTAGTTTTGAAAGCTCTTTTCCATTCATCTCCTATATGTCTTCTAATTTAATGATATCCATATTTCAAATCAATCTTTGTAAATAGATATGAACCATGCAATTCATCAAGTATATGGTCTAACCTAGGAATAGGATGTCGATACTTTACAGTAATTTTGTTGATGGCTCAAGAATCCACGCACATGTGCCATGTTCCATCTTTCTTTGGCATCAATAAGACTGGTATAGAACATGGACTCAAACTCTCTTGTATATAACCGTTCTCCATGATCTCCCCAACTTGCCTCTGAATTTCTTTAGTCTCAGTTTGGTTTGCTATATAAGCTAGCGTATTAGGAATGACTGCCCCAAGAATGAAATCTATTTTATGTTCAAGATCTCTAATGGGAGGTAGTCCTTTAAGTACTTCATCTTGGAACATATTCTCAAATAAAAGAGATTGAAACATAGAAGGCAAATAAAAAATGTTATCATTAGAGACCAAACATCCTTACTTGTACATAAGTATAAAGATGGTTTTTGTGAAAACATTGCGTTTCTAACCTCTCCGATTCTGGCCAAACAACTCACTTTCTTTCATTTTTTTTTTCAATTTCATTATTCTTTTCACTATTTTTAAGCTTTCAATTCCTCCTCATTCTCTTGGATTTCTTCTTCAACTAGCTCATCTTGGTCACTTTTCTCACTATGTGTGACAACTTGTCCATTCTTTATGATCATGACTCAATTGTTAGGACAATCACAACTAATATGACCTCCTTGTATTCCTCCACTTCTTCTTTACCCTGGATGTCTCATCTTTGTTCTTTTTTTCAATCTCATACTTGCTTCTAACCTTGAAATTTATCCTTTCAATATTTACATTGAAAAAAAAAATTCCAAAGAGAATGGTGGTGAAGATTTGAGAACAACCTAACTTTCCTTTTTTATAAAATACTAGAAAATTTAGAATTTATCTTGATGAGAAAAAAAAAATATCAAACACAAATGTTCAAGAGTTAGATGGAATAAGAAAGAATGTCAATTGAAGTGTATTTGAACAATTTATTATGAACAAATATGATAAGAATTTTTTTTTTTTTGTTTTTTTTTTCCGGTCTGAATATGATCCTCAAAAAGAAAATGAGAACAAGGTTATATGACAAACAGGATGGAAATGGCCGCAAGAAAATAAATTGACAGATTCAAAGAAAGGGAAAACAATAGCATAACGAATAAACTAGAGATAAAATCAATTCTAGAGTAGGTCACATAGATGCAATCTAAGCTCTAATCCCAAATTGACTAGGCAACCCTAATTCTCAACCCAACTATCCAAGCTTTGGTTGAAGCAAAAACCATTAAATCAAAGAAATTAACTAATTCGTCCCAGCTTTTGTTTTTGTTTTTTTTTTTCATCTTCTTGTTAGATATTCGCCAACTATTCTCGAGTGGCAAATCATCTGATCTTTCAGGAGTCATATATTGCATATTCGCAAACTCACCTATTGCAACTTGAATCGATAGTAGGGCAAATGGTAAGAGCATAACTAAATTACCTGATTTCTGGTATGCTTAGAAGAGTTAAACTACGTGGCACCAATGGCCAGGAATAGCTTAGATAAGCTAAATAGGGCACTTTAGTAACTCAATTTTAAAATCTTCAAAGCACAACTATAATAACTCAATTTTCAATACTTCAAATTATTTTTCATGACACGTACTGACAAACCTCCATAAGAAGAACTCAACATTATTATTAAGGATACTAGATTAAGACTATGTAACAATGTTAGGAATCACGAACCTCCATAATTATATGACATTGTCCACTTTGGTTGAAGGGTTAAATTTTTCCACGTACTAAAATGGAATGATTCATTCCCAATGCTAAAAGAGAGCTTGAACCTCCCCAACCTTATCGTTAACAATCATACGCTCTAACCAATTGAACTATTCCAACAAATTATGAGTATTAGCTTAGATCTTGTCTACGTTAGCTCGTTACATATCGTCGTCAACCTCACGATTTTAAAACGCGTCTAATAGTGAGAGATTTCCACATGCTTATAAGAAATGTTTCACCCCCTCCCCAACCGATGTGGGATTTCACAATCCATCCCATTGTGTTCCCAGCAACCTCATTGACACACCACTCGATGACTAGCTCTAATACAATTATTTACAAACCAAGCCCCCCTCTATCAGATATTGTCTACATTGGCTAATTACGTATCACTATCAGCCTCATGATTGTAAAATATGTCTACTAGGATGAGGTATCCACAACCTTAAAGGAAATGCTTGGTTCCCCTCTCTAGTTGCAAGCAGATATTGTTTGTTTTTGCCTGTTACGTATCGTTGTATGTCTAAAAGTTTTAAAATGCGTCTATTAGGGAAAGAGCTTTCCACATCCTTATAAGGAATGCTTCATTCCCCTCTCCAATCAATGTTAGATTTTGTAATAAATAGTTAAGGTGGTTGAGTGGTCTACCGTGCCAAACTTAAGTTCTAGTCCTCTTGGGAGGGCTTTGGTTCAAATCCCACTTCTAATACTTTATATTAACTAACTACTAGGGTAAGTTTTCTTTTGTTCATTCTTGGTTTCTTTGATACTTGTTCTTAATACACAATTCAGAGTCCTTATTACAAGTGTTTAACTTAATAAATTGTACTTGGAGTAGGCATACAAAACACACACAAATATTAGTCTTTAGAGTGATTTTAGAAACCATACTTGGAGTAGGCATACAAAACACACATAAGTATTAGTCTTTAGAATGATTTTAGAAACCATTACAAACACTAAAACCATATGTTTATATTCTCACTCTGTCAAATTGCTAGTTTAATCTCTCCACTTTTGATTTTTTATTGAATAGGTGTTTGAACTTATAAGTTATTTGATACATTGAAATTTTTTAAACATTATTCCATCTAACTTTCAAATTTATATGTATTTTAAGAGCATCGAATAAAATATTCATGGATTTCAAATAAAATATATGTATTTTAAAGGCATATTTACTTGGTCTCGGTAGGAAGTCCTCCTAAGCTAGGCCATAGAGAAACCTTGGGCTCTGATACCACTCTGTAAGGATCAGGCTATCGCGATGGTTCTAAAAGACGGATAAATTTTTCGTGAAATAAACAAAGAAATTTAAAAAATTATATTTACATAATATCAAAATAAAGTTTATACATAAGTATTTAAAACACAACATACTAGTTAAAACACAAAATAAGGAACGAGCACAAAACATTTTAAAACAAAAGGGTTGAGGACAACGAGTGAGGTTTGTCTATGGCACCTGCTTCAAAGTCCGCTCTCGACCTCGACCAACTCCTTATTACCTAAAAAGAATGGAGAATAAAGAATGAGACAAAGACTCTGTAAGTAGCCTACTTGTAGGCTCTTAATCGTGTCCTTAATATTCTAGGGTACCACATTCTTTGTTGTTGTCTTATTCTTGTTTTTGTTATTGTTGTAAGTATTTAAGTTCTCCAGTTCTTGTTCTTGACTTGGGGTTCTTATTTTAATTATCCTGAGGA